TTTGATAATTATTTGACATTAAGAATAGGACTTTGTTAAAGGAGAGAAACTTTCACTGACTTGCAGTGTGGTTTAAATGCCATTTACTTCTTTTACAATTTAATTTCTGCTACATAATAGATTAATTATAAAAAAACTGTCCCATAGGTTAATGTGAAAACAATTCAGTAAATTAAAACTCTTGACTTTAGACAGAAATGAAAACTCTCACCACCAACCCTCTCCACCTAACCTGCCTACCCAGTGCAGTGTAGCCCAAAGTGGCACACGTTCTCAATGCATGAGTAGCAACTCTCCAATGATTAACTATAGGACTATTTTGACATGAGAATGATCTTTTGCCAAAGTTCAACTGCAACTCTAAATTTAGAATGTGTTTTTCCTATATCAGTGAGTAAGACAGCAAAAACTAAAGGAGAAAATCTGACTGCATACCAGAGAAAATAGTTTTAGATTATACCCAATAGGAAGGATGTAAGCATCCCTGAAACCATCTCACCAATAAAAATAGCCTTGCTTCTGGTATTTTAAAGAATACCTGATTTCATCAATGGTAAAATCAGTAGATCAGTTAAGACACTCAAGAGTATATCACCATGTACGAGAAAGAGAACAGAACAAGGAGCTAGGAAACCTGGAAGGTCTGTTTTACCCCAAATTGGTTGTATAATTTCTGGGCCTTGAATTCCTCACTGGAAAGATATCAGGCAATTATTTTCAAGTATTAAGAGAGGCTTTTTCTCCTTTTTTAACTTTACTTCATTATTTTTTCTTCTGCTCAAAGATACTTGGACTCCAACACTTCAGAGAAAAGGAAAACCACAGCAGGCAATAGAGAGCAAAATAAGATAATTCTAAGCTTATGAGTTGCAAAAGATATAAAATATACTATTTTTACACTTTCCCACTCTTTGCATTTAGTGTGGTCCCCTTGCACCCTACCCACTAAAATTCCAGTATCACCCCCAGTCATTTTTGTTTGTAATTATTTTCTTCTTTTAGTTTTTGGAATCTTTAAAGATAAACTTTTATTGAAATAGAATACACATAAAGACAAGTGCACAAATCCTAGGTATACAACTTGATGAATTTTCACAGAGTTAATACACCAGTGTAATTAATACCCAGGTCAAGAAACATGTTAACAGCACCCACGAAGCTCCTTTTGTATCCCATCCTAGTCCCATGCCCCACAAAAATAACCTTTATTCTGACTTCTAATACCATAGATTAATTTTGCTGATTTTGAATCTTATATATACAGTTGTGTCACTTAACGATGGGGATATGTTCTGAGAAATGCATTGTTAGGTGATTTTGTAGTTATGCAAACATCATAGAATCTACTAACACAAACCTAGATGGTATAGCCTGCTACACACCTAGGCTCTATGGTACTGATCTCATGGGACCACCATCATATATGCAGTCCGTCGTTGACCGACACATCATTATGAAGTGCATGACTATAAAGGGACTCATTCAATATGTACTCTTCTGTGTCTCGCTTCTTTTATTCAACATTATATTTGTGAAATTCATCCCTGTCGTTGCATGTAGTCATAGTTTCTTCATTCTCATTGCTATACAGTATTCCATTGCATAAATATATTACAATTTATTTATGCATTCTACTGTTGATGAATATTTGGGTAATTCCTAGTTTGGGGCTACTAGAAGATAGTGCTTCTATGAACATTCTTGGACATATCTTTTGGTGAACATATGATTACTTTTTGTTGGGTATATTCCAAGGAGGGGAAATACTGGGTCATAGGTAATGTGTGTATGTTCACTTAAGTAGATACCATCAAACCATTTTCCAAAGTGATTGTACCAATTTATTTTTCACCCAGAAATGTAAGAGAAATCTAGTTGTTCAAAATTATCATCTGAGTATTATGTGTTATTTTTTATACCCCCAACTATTGCTCTAGTGGTTAAGAACTGGCGCTTTCACTGCTGCAGCCTAGATTCATTTCCAGGTCAGGGAACCACACCACCCCTCTGTTGGTTGTCATACTGTTGTGGCTGCGTGTTGCTGTGATGCTGAAAGCTATGCCACCAGTATTCAAACATCAGCAGGGTCATCCATGGGGGACAGGGTCAGTGGAGTTTCCAGACTAGGAAAAGCACCTGGCCACCCACTTCTGAAAAAATTGGCCATGAAAACCCTATGAATAGCAGTGGAGCACTGTCTGGTATAGCGCCAGAAGGTGAGAGGATGGCACAAAAAGACCTGGCTGGGTTCCATTCCCTAGGAGTGGAATCGACTTGAGGGCACTAACAACAAACAGAAGTAACTAGTAAGAATTTGTATGATTATGTAAGAAAATCTTTTTAGTCCTTATATAAATTTAATTTCCGTCCAACTCTTTTCTAATAATGAGAAATTTATATGCTTTTGCAAACAGAATATTGGTATGTTTCATCGACATTTAATGAATTCTAATATGGTCACATTGTGCACTTCCACAATCATTTCTGCCTCTACGTGATACTAATTGGATCCCTTCCAAAACGCATTAGACCATTCACACTGTTTGCTGTCTTAGAATGTTACATTTGCCAATGACCTCCTAAAATCCAGAGTTCGCTTTTGTTTACAGTGAGTAAATGTACTTCAGCACTTCAATTTTCAGTAAATAAGGAGGTTCTTCTTTTGTTATAATACTTGCTAAAATTTGCTAAATGTCTTAGCAAAGTTAAAAAACTAAAACATTGAGAGTAAATGAATTTGTTTATAATTTCTTTTCTTGCTCTAAGAAAAATAAAACTCAGAAGCCTCCAGAAATTATGCTATGACTGAGGAGACAAATATATGGGAAGGAGAGTTAGGAAAGTGAGGTGCGAAAGAATTCTAAATATTTAGGAATAGGTGCTTTTCAATATCTCTTGGGAACACAATGTTTTCCCGTTGTCTTTTTGGTATAATACATTATATTAATATATTTTCTTAAGAGGCAGCCAAATATGAGTACTGAAGTCACACTCCCTGGGGTTGAATCCTGTCTTCACTACTTTTTATACATAACATAAAAACTCTCTGATCAAAATATGTTTTTCTCTTTAGGATTTTGCCACATGTGTTTATACACGCACAGAAAGAAAACTATAAATAATAAGATGCAAATGTTGTTGAAAATTATATGATATATAATCTTAGAAATAGAGACTGTAAGTATGTACTCTTATCTCTTTATTGTTTTTTGACACCAGGTAGACACAGTTTTCTCTTATTGCTATTCTCAAAAATCTTAGTCACACCAACTAATTCCATAGTTTCAGCTATTAAAGCTATAACTGTTGATCCCCAGATCTATCAATCAACATTTGCCCCCATCTCATTTTATATATGACAAGACCTACATTTTTAAGACTGAAGCCAATGAATGTCATGAGAATGTTGGAGCCACAGTCAGAATCAGCACTCTCTCTGTGGGGAGACCTGACCACAGAAGAGCAGTCTGCTACAAAATTATGGCAAAGATGAACTTGGTCTTCAGCATTCCCACTACAGTTTCCTCCCTATTCTTCTCTTAGATATCTCTCCTTAACAATCTAACATAATATCCATTAAAGAAAATGTGGTATTTATGTACAATGGAATATTATTCAACCATAAAAAATGAAATCTTGCTATTTGTGACAACAAGGATGGAATATGAGGGCATTACACTATGTGAAATAAATCAGACAGAGCAAGACAACTACTGTATAATCTAATCTTATACATGGAATCTAAAAAAAAAAAAAACCAAGCTCATAAATACTGAGAACAGATTGGTGGTTGCCAGAGGTGGGGGATGAGCAAAATGGGTGAAGGGGGTCAAAGGGCACAAACTTCCAGTTATAAAATAAATAAATCACAGGGCTGTAATGTTAAAAAAAAAAAAGAATCTAACATAATATTCTAAAGATTAACTAGATCTCCCCATTATTTTAGTGCCTATCTGTTTCCTATTTTGTCAATTCACTGCAATATTTCTTAAAAGGGCATTACAGACATCGCAAGAGGGATGTTTATTTTCAAAACACAGACGCTTAGATTTGTAATAAAGTTTAGAGGACATACAGTCTTCTTCCTTCACTATATAATAACTTCTGACTCTTAGATCCTATAGAGCTGGCACTTTCCTATCTTACTCATCCTGACATCCCCAGCGTTTAGTTTCAGTGCTTGGAACATAGAAAGGATTAAAAGTTTGTTGTTAAACTGCATAAATGTGGCTGATGATCTGCAACCTAGTGCCCAGGTTTAATCCTATTAGACCACATAACAAACTATTGAAATCTCCTGTTAATGGGTGACTCTTCTTAACTAGACCAGAAGTTCCTCACTGCAGCGATCTTTCTCACCAACTTGATAACTCTCTTATCTGTTGCAATTAAATACTAAGACGTCACTATTGCAGAGAAAACTGTGAAGAAAAAAAGATATGAGAAATCTAAAAGACATAACAGGATTGGGTTGCTGGACAGGCAGAAAAATACTAATACTAAAGCAGGGTAAAGAAGATTCCAGCTCCTGGGGTCTCAATGAAGCTTTTCTGCGCGCAGGTTGCCTTAGCAACTTCGGAGAGCGTCCGCCCCAAGCCCCGCCCACAGCCCCGCCCTTCGCCACCCCTCGCTCTTCACCGGCCTGCCCCATACCCTTACTTCCGCCCCAACCTTCCAGCTGGGACCTCGAGTCCTACTGTCTATGCCCCCTCTTGTGTTGCCTGATTGAAAATACGGGAGCAACTATCTGCAATTAGAAAAATATTCTTTCCATGCGATCCATACTTTCGTCTCAGAGATATAAATGCAAAAGCAATCGGTATTTGTAATGTGGAGGCTCCGCCTAGCATGAGCACCCGGGGCCTATTTTCAGGCAGTACCTTGGACAACAGCAACTTTGGAGGTCCTCCGTTCGCCGAGGGAGACGTGGACCTGAGTGGGGCGGGGCGATCCCCTTCATCGCAGAGGAAGTGGGGATAGCGGGCAGAGTCGGCCTGCGGTCTCTGTCCTGACCGGTTCCACGATGTAAGTCTTTGCTTACCGACCGCCCCAATCCCCCGTACCGCTGGCCGACCTTAACTCTCTCTCGCTCTCTGCCTCAGGTCGAAGGTTTCCTTTAAGATCACGCTGACGTCGGACCCGCGGCTCCCTTACAAAGTGTGAGTAGCTCGGCTGCGGTGGGCCTTAGGGGCGGGGCAGGACCGGGCTGGGTGACCCGAGCCTGCCCTACAACTCCCACCTGGGCAGCCTGCGTCCCTTCGCTCCCCGCGCCTCCCCCGCATGCGCTTTTCCCGGAGCCTCTCCTTTCCCACCCGAGCCCGAGAGGGGACATCCGTGTCCGCTCCTCTAAGTGTCATCTTGCTCCTGGCACGAGGATGCGGGGGGTGGGAGGGGGAGGAGTGTGTGTGTGTGTGTGTGTGTGTGTGTGACAGATGCGTTGCTGCTGATCTGTGACCTCTCCTCGGAACTCATTTGGTGAGTGGTAGAGCGGGAGGACGTGTAGACATGGCTCTCCTTAAACAGTCCCTGTCTGCTCATGATTAGAAAAGGCCTCTCAGCGCTTTGACCAGCTGTTGGAGGAAGTAAGGGAACACATCCCACTTGATTCCGAAATTACCTGAACGTTTGTTACTGTCGGGCTTCTAATACTTGTGTGTGAGTGACTCAACAGTTGGGCGTCACAAAGTAATGAGTCTCAAATCATACACTTCCCATGTTAATAAAGAATGTTTAGAAGGAATGGGAAATGCAGAAATTGGGCAGTTTATCCATGCGGCGCCTTTTTTTATCCTTTAGCAGTTGAATGACGGGTTAGCACCGGTCCAACTACATACTCGTCCGGACCGTCCTATGATTTTAGATGAACATTATTGAGGCTATTGCGGTCAGAAGTCGCATGAAATGTAGCAAAGAACAGGACTTCAATAGGATTTATGCATAATTAGTGTGATTAGTATCGTGGCCTACCAAATTGAACCGTAACAGCTGTCGTCAGTCTCAGTGACATAGCTGTTTGTGACCCATGCAACCTTCTAGCCTTTTGCTGTCTTGATCATTTCATCTCCAGATGAGTCTTTTTTCAGTCTCAAGTATTCATGGTTACAGCCTAGAACCTTAAGATCTCCAGTAATTGCTCCACCTCTAAAATGTAATTTTCAAGCCCTCTCCTGTGAATAACCATATTCTCTTCTTACAGCTGATTTACTCATATCTCTTCTGTAAAAATATTTCTTTTAATTTATTGAGCAGCCTGCTTTTGAATCTATCACTACTCTCTCTCCCCCATGCCTTACCCCACTCCTTTCCTTACCCAGCTCAGAGGCCAAGGTCCAGTCACTCTCTTGCAGACACCCTTAATTTTGGTGTCCCCCTCTCTGCAGTACATTTTGCTTAGTGAAATACCAACTCTGAACGCAACCACTGTATTCTCTGAAAAGAGCTGAATGTCCCTGGAGAAAATTACACAGTGAGGCTGATGGGTTTATGTAAAATTCATGACTGTGCTCAATAGTACCAAACACTGCTACATTTCTGAAGTTTGCTTATTTTCTACTTTATTCTCTGAAAAGATTTTTTAAAAATTTCTCTTCACACTTCCTACAACTCCTTTCCCTGTTTGTCTCAAGCTGTTAGAAGAAAATTCTCTCATCTTTCCATCACCACATCTATAAACCTATAATTTCTGTCTGCCATTGTGTTATAATGGAAAATATGGCTTTACTCCTATGAAAAGCCAATTGTACTACTCGGGCTCTGGATCTCATTTCTTTTAGTCTTCTCAAGATTACCGTAGAGTCCAGAGATCCCTGTCTCATCATGTTTAATTTTTCCCTCTATACTGGATTATTCCATCAATGTGTAAATATGCTGTAGAAAAAAAGACTGAGAAGGAGGGAGGACAGAGTAGGACAGCATCAGTATCTATAGAGTGCCTAGAACGTTATACCAGTTCAGTTAATATTGGTGACTGAATGAATTGAATAGGCATACCTGTTGTTTAGTGTGTGTGTAGTCCTGTGTATATGTATAATCTATATATGAGTGTATGTATAAAATATGCATAACACATGTACATGTGTCCGTAAAGGTAGTTATGCTGTGTTTCCTATTCAAAGCAAATAGTAACTTGTACTTGGGTACTAGTAAAAGCAACGCTTAAGATTTGTGGGAGAACATGCTTTAACTTTTCAATGTCACTTCTCACTTGTCAAGCAGGTAAACGTGTGACAGAGAAGCTTCCTTTGAGTTTCTAACATTACTAATACTTCAATTCTAAAAAGGATGTTTCACTTCTAAATTTATTCTGGGGGGTGTCAGAGTTTTTATTGTTTGTTTTGTTTTTTGTTTGTTGATAGATTCACTCTTGGTATTGCGACATAGTGAAATGTTGAAATCAAACGTTCTCTTTTATATACAGAATGAATTAGAAACACTTTTGGCTCTTTCCGTCTGATTCCAATCTTTCCAGTCTTACTTCCCACTTCATCTCCTCTCCACTTCCTTACTACCACCAATCACTTAATCAGAGGTTCAGCCGCCCTGTTCCCAAATTGACAAGCAAGCCCTTTTGATCTTCCCTGCTTTCAATCTTGTTCTTTTCTGAGCTTGGAATGTAGTCTCATGACTACCACTTCTTGACAAACGACACCTTTTAATAATCAAAATTTCACCTCTCTGAAGATTTCTTTAATTGTCCAGGGAGTCATCTTGCCCTTTTTTGGTTTCTTATAGAAACTTTGTTCTTATTCTTTGTAACAGCACTTGTCAAGTTGTGTCATAGTTCTGTTTATATGAACTATTTATTAAAAAAATAAATTTTGCCAGTAATTTACTTTAAAAGTTTACTTTAATATACAGGATAGTTTCCATTTTTTTCAAAACACTAATATAATGTAAGTGCCAAATTTACAAAATGATGCAAACACAACAAATTCAGATCTATAGTCTGTGGAGTCACAGTAGCTCCCAGTTCCTCTGTGGTTTTCTGCCACTTAGAACATGCATTAAAATATGTTTTCAGTTTGAGTTTTATTGGATTATCTTTGGGCAGGCTCACCGACTTAATATGCGGGTAGAAGTTTATTTTAATGAATATCAATGTGACCTGTAGTTACGGGTTATGGGGACATTTCGAGTCTCCAGGTCAAAAGTGAGTTGAAGCCCTAAGGTTTTAGAAGTTCTCTGTTTGAGGCAAGGTTTTAGGACAATGAATCTCAGGTTTTAAACTATAAATGTACTGCAGAAATACTCGTATAGTACTGCTTCCTGCTTTATAAACTATCACATTGCCTATTTAGTAGATATTTTTTAAACAAATGACTATCCTTTAGAATTATGTTTTTATTCTCTCCAAAAGAAAAAGGGGGAAACAAAAGGAAAAAAAGTGCTATCCATTTTCACTCTTTAGTGGTACTTTGGAGGATTGGAATAGCGGTAACCAAGAAATCTGTTCACATTTCGCTTACTGGAAGTCATTATAGTGTGCTGTGGCAGATGTAATGATTTTTATATTCAGCAATCTGGAGAGTAAGTGAAGAAATGGGACCTGTACATGAGAATGTTACATAATGATAGTTGGTATTAAAACATTCAAGAACAATACAGTGATGACAAATAGAGAAGTTTCAAAGCGAAATGTTAGCTTGCCAGTCTCTCTTGCCTGCCTTGAAAGAGTATATGTTTTTCTATCTTTAATCATTGTAATTTATTTTACATTAGGAATATTATTTATTTTACCTTTTTTAACCTCTTTCTACATCTTTAAGTGTTTTCTTAGGATACAATGTCAATTCCTTTTTAGTTTTTAAATTGGAAAATTCATACAGATTGACCATTTATCAGTAATCTTTAATATACTTGACACTATACAAGTCAATAACGAAATCACACATAACTCTCCAAAATTTTATTTCAGATTGTATTAAGCCCTTTTTCTAATGATGATATAAAAAGTGGAAAAGGACTTCACATTTTGCTGTAGTAAACATGTTGATTTTCATCAACTTGGTCTATTTTAGACTTGATTATTAAAAGTGCACAGGAAGGTTCATGAAAAAATTTATGATCCGATGATGCTTCCCAGGTAGCCTCTTCTTGTAATGAAAATGATGACATTCCTACATCAGGTGAAAAGATGTTTGGACTGGAGGCGGTAAAGAGGACTGAAGAGTCAGGAGAGATTCAAATTTTTGAAATCCATCTCTGGAAACAAGCATCATCCTATATACTAGGCCCATTTGTATCAAAGTATTAAAAATGTATAAATCTGCACCTGTATAGGTTATTAATTTTCAGCTGAAGCCATGGGTACCATCTCAGCTATAAGGCTAATTGCTTTTTTTCATTTTAGAGTTAATGAATAGTGTGCAATTAAAATACAACCTTCAGACTCAAAAGACAGCTTGGTTCAGGTCTGCTACAATAGCTGAAATAAGGAAAAAGGGCTTCAAAGGAAAAATCAGCTTTTAAAAAAATTCTTTTTAATTCTTCTTGCAGACTCAGTGTTCCTGAAAGTACCCCTTTCACAGCAGTCTTAAAGTTTGCAGCGGAAGAAGTAAGTATAGAAATGGGAACAACCTGTATGGAATGTGGTTTGGCAGTGTATCTCAAAAATCTTTAGGCACCCGCCTGGTGGTGTAGTGCTTAAGTTCACACGCTCCACTTCAGTGGCCCAGGGTTTGCGGGTTTGGATCCCGGGCGCGGACCTGCACACCGCTTGTCGGGCCATGCTGTGGCAGCAGCCCATATACAGGATAGAGGAAGATTGGCACAGATGTTAGCTCAGGGCCAATCTTCCTCACCAAAAAAAAAAAAAGAAAGAAAGAAAGAAAGAAAAAATCTTTAAATTTTGCATGTGCTGTGACCCATCATTTCTATTTGGGTTCATTACTAGGTTTATGCTATGAAAAAGTTAAGCCTTACAGATATAAGTAGAATGAAAATTAAGACTGACTTACAGATATAAGAAGAATGAGTTAAACAAAGTGACACATCTAGTGAATGCACCCATTTAAAATTTTAGGGAAAATTTTTATTGAAATTGAAAATAGTGGTATGGAAATTTTTCTAAACAGCAACATATCACACTGTAGTCTGGATACTCATATTTTTACAACATTTGATTCTAGAATTACATTTTTTTTATATCTTTAGCATATTTTTAAAATTTTCTGTGTGAGCATATGGACTGTCAGTAAAATTTGTTGTTTTTAAAAGTATCTAGTTTTTTAGAACATATTTAGGTTCTCTGTTTTTAAGAAATAAAATTTTTCCATCCAGAATTATCGTCAGAAGCATCTATAATGCAAGAGTAGCTTTGTCTGGTGGAAATGGCACCAAAATGTGACTTGGGAGACTTAGGGTTCCTATTCTAGTTGTGTCGTTAATTATCTATGTGACATGGGCAAGCCTCTCAATTTTTCTCTTCCTCAAATTTCTTAATCTATAAAATGGGAGTAGTTAATGCCTGTCCTTCCTATCTGATTAAGTGATTTTGAATAAAAATATAATAGCATTTACTGAAATTTTGTGAAGTTAAATGTGCTATACAAGTAAAGAGTGACCTAAATCCAAATGTTTTGGTTCAGAGTCTTCAGAAAAGTTTGTAGTCACTGAAAAACAATTTTAGTAACTAAATAAAGAAGCAGCCAGCTTAACCCATAATCCTGCCCTGTGCTTAAGTGATTAATGGAAAATCAGCCAACCCATTAGCGCTCACAACCCCTCGTAAACTATTGTCAGGGACCAATGACATCATTTACCACTAATTCAGAATTAAACTGAAAGGTGGTAGTGTTTGTTTTATAGTCAATTTTGATCTATTCTTCATGCAGAAAGAATAAGTAAAAAGAGACGGGAAACAAATCCAAATACGGCATCATCATTAGTTTTTGCCGGACAAGTCACTTGCAAGAAGTATTCCTAGCCTGGGTCATAGCGCATCCTACACATTCCAAGATGAACATATGAAGTAGATATGTTCAAGCTATAATTAATATTTATTATTGTATTTTGTAGTTATAGTGTGTCCTTTATAAGGCAAAGGCATTGTTGTGATCTTGGGTTTCTAGTGAAAGTATAAGAAAATCATAACAGACATGCAATATAAAATAAACTAACAAACTTCACACAACCACATATATGTCCATATATTGAGGTAACATTTAGTTTATAACATATAAATTTCAGGTGTACATCATTATATTCCATTTCTGTGTAGCCTACATCATGTGCACCACCCAAAAAGTAATTACCATGGGTCGCTGTACAGATGTGCCCTTTTACCCCTTTTGCCCTCATCCCTCCCCACTTCCCCTCTGGTAACCACCAATCTGATTTCTTTATCTATTTATTTTGTTTGTTGTTGTTGTTTTTGTCTTTCACTTAGGAGTGAAATCATAGGTATTTGACTTTCTCTGTGTGACTTATTTCACTTAGCATCATACCCCAAAGGTCCATCCATGTTGTCGCCAATGGCAAGATTTCATCGTTTCTTATGGCTGAGTAGTGTTCTATTGTGTGTGTATACCACATCTTCTTTATCCGTTCATCCATTGATGGGCACATAAGTTGTTTCCAAGTCTTGGCTATTGTAAATAATGCTGCGATGAACATAGGGGTGCAATTATCTTTTTGACTTAGTGTTTTCATGACAACTACATACATTGATTAAAGTTTTAAGGTAGCTTAGAACTGTTATGAATCACGAGTGTTACACATTTAGACAGGTTATAACTTTCAGGCAACAGTGAGAAGGCCTTTCACAAGATGACGTTGTAGAGTCTTCCAGTGAGAACAAGAGTCAACTTGACAAACGAAGAGTCTGTGGATTTAAATCCCTAGTAAAATTCTCTCAATAAAAAAAAATAATAAAATTCCCCAACACATGACTGTGAATTCATTTAACTGAATAGTGAGTTGTCAAAGCCTAGGAAGAGCCTCTTAACACCCTAAATTATAAGACTTATGGGATCTCAGAAAGTAAACAAATGAAAACTGAGGAGCATAAAATACCCTGCATCAGAGAAAACTTGTCAGTAGTGTAGGACGACAGTAGTAGATACTGCGTTTTACATCACTAGTGATGCCTCTCCACATTTCAACTTACCCGTTGCTTCTACATTCTGGAAAAGGGAAAAATTATGTCAGCAGTTGCTTTTGATTTTTAATGTTGATAAAATATGTTGCCACTGTATGGATGTGGCTAAGAAAATGCATAGCTTATCTTAAAAGGGACATAATCTAAGAATAAGACACTCTGTAGGGTAACTAGAAACTTCGTAATATTCAAGTTTTGGAAATCTGAAATGTCCTATAATTAATTTGAGTGATCAAAGTTTTATTAAGTGTTACAACCTCTATGAATCATTTTTGAGGTATTTTAAAATTTATTTATTAAAGTACATTTTGAAGTTATTTTAAATTAGGTTTATTTAAAATTTTTACATCTTTAAAAGGACATTTACAATTAAGAATGTACTGTGCAGACAGTAAAATTATTTGTTTATTAGGTACATAATCCTGTAACAGGTAATTGTTCTTTTGCGTAGTTAAGTTCTTATTTTAAAACTTGGTTCTTCAATTCATAAATAAAATAAGCTTTTGGTTGTTTTCCTTAATTGTGCATATGTGACCATTATCAATACGTAGAGCAGCATTTCCCAGACCACTAGAAGCATCAAAAAAAAAATCCATGAAAAACTGGGATCAGTGGCCAAAAAGTATGGGAAACGCTTCATTCACTATTTCCTTCTTAGAGTTAAATCAATTATAGTAGCAGCATGTTAAAGGATTTTGACAAGAATAGTAGTTTACCTTAGTATTTTCCAAACTTATTTGATCACAGAACTCAACTATGATATTTGTAAAACTAATCCATCGCCTAGAAGTGCTTAATAAATGTTCATTGGGTAAATGAATGAGGACATAAACACACTTTGACAACTGCTGGTCTCTAGAGCATTAAGACAAGAATTCTACCTTTTAGCTACCACTAAGTTCCATACCACGTTTCATTAATTCAGAAAACACATCTTTTTACACCACGAGATTTAAATCAGCAGTACATTAAAGAATTTGAGGAAGGAATATGAGCCTTGATTGGCCTCCCATTAAACACGAGAGCATTTGTTTGAACTTATTATTTCCACAGAGAAATTTTACGAATGTTTTAAGCAATTGTTTTGCTTTTATTTTTGCTTATGCAAGAGAGTTATATATGATAAAAGTAACACATCTAAGTCTGAAAGAGTAATCATTGATCGGGTCATAGATTCATTGACAGTGCTTTTCTTTGTTTGTAGTGCATAAAATAAGGTGCATTTTACAATCCATGGTGACCTAGATAGAGTGAAATGCAGTATTTAGAAAACAGTGTTGTTCTTTAAAAGTAAAGCAAGTTAAGTACTTTGATGACGTTACTTATCCTAAAAGATAAATCACATTTTAGAATTATAGAATTGATTATATGTACCTCATCCTTGCTAGCCATCTTTTATAGACTTTGTGTGTGTGTATATATATATTTTTTTTTTTCCTCCCTTTTAGTTTAAAGTTCCTGCAGCAACAAGTGCAATTATTACCAATGGTAAGAATTCATTTTAAAACTATTACCTCAGAGCCCTAGAAATTGTTTAAAAGAAATCAGATTAATTAACATTGACTTAAATACAAAAAGCCCAAAATTTATATCAACATAAATGATATATACGTAATTGTAAACACTAAGTCAAGGTTACTGTCCATAATTAGCTCTTTTCAGTTTCTTTATGCTTTTGGTATAGTATAGCACTTTATAATATCTTGTGTCCTTATCACTTCATGCCCGATTATTACTGAAAATAACTTTTATTTAACAAAATTTAATTTATTTTAATAATTGTAAATGCTTTTAGAATACAGGAAATCAAGCAAAAATATACCTTTGCTATACTTCATTATTGCTTTCCTGATGGAAAACTATTTCTTACGAGGCTTGAAATAATGAAGATTTTATTCAATTATATTGAATAAATTATATCTTCAGTGAATTACATATTCAATTAAATATGTAATTTAAATTCTGAGTATTTTAGAATACTGCTAATAATTAAGTTTGATGGAACTAGCCCTATGAGAAAATACTGAAATAAGGTGAGGAGTAAAAATTGCGGGGAGGGCTTAAATATTCAAGAATACAAAGAATTCAAGAATACAAAGTAATATTTATAGGTGCTGAAAGTGGTTTCGTGTGCAGTTAGGATGTAAACTTTTATCACGTGTCAGTGGAACTTGAATTAAATGACTATAGGCTCTCAGGCCTTAAGGTTTCATGCCTTGGAGCAATATATAAATGATTAATGACATACTTAAGGTGCTTTTGGCTTTATTTTTCACTGTGTGTGGCATAATAGAATAAAAAACTATCTTCTGTAGAACTTACCAAGATCATTGCACTCACAGATGTTTTTGTCTAATCCAGCAATGTGCATAAATGCATAATAGTAACAGATTTCAACAGATAACTTACCTGAAAGGTTGTCATTCATGTTCTTGGACTTAAATTGTTGGGCTTGTGCCCATATACCCAGCAGTGGCAAATCTCTTCTTGTTACTATTAAACCATTTTAGCTTTAGAAATAACTTAAATGATTTTATAACTTATTTTCTAGATGGAATAGGAATAAATCCTGCACAGACTGCTGGTGAGTATCTTTCTGAAAATCATGGAGATGTGGGTGGGGCTATATATGTGTGTGTGTGTGTGTGTGTGTGTGTGTGTCAATTGATACTGAGTATTTAATTTATTCTAATTAGACTTGATAGGATTTTACCAGGATAATAGCTGTTTTTTAGGGATTGTGTAGCTGTCTTTACCTGTGTGTCTAAGTAATAATTTGTTTCATTATATGTCTTAGTTGTGTATGCTTTTGGCTACAAGAAAGAGAAAACCTGACTAATAAGCATTAAAGCTTATTAATTAAAGGTTAATAAGCTTTAATAATGACTAATAAGCATTAAAGGTATTTAATTAAAACATGTAACAAAAAGTCTGATTAAAACATGTAACAAAAAGTCTGAAGGTAAAAAGATGTACTCTTATGAGAATGATGATTTGGACCTACCTTATAAGCTAGTTTGAGGTAGTACATGTAAAGTGCCTAAAAGTTTGCAGTGTCCATAGTAAGCATTCAATAAGAGCTAGCTGTTATTATTTTAAAGAAGTACAGTCATTTAAATTTCAAGGAACTTAGTCCACACTCAGAGCTTCAAACTTAAGCTCTCAGCAAGCTTAAGCATATTTTTTAGATGTACTCTTTTTGGCTTATAGTCTAGTTATAATATTTTGAAATTAAGTGTGCTTTAATATAATATTACCTCAATCTTAAGCAGTAGTTATGTTTAAATTATTATATTCTGGAGTGCTTCTCTATTATGACAAAATTATATTGTCCTCATACACCTTGGTATTAAAATTCAGACATATAGAAAATGAAGAGGGATTTAAAATTGTAATTTTTTTTTTGCTTAAATCAGTTTTAAGTATATTTCATGAAATAAGAAAGGTTGTTCATTGAAAATCATGAGGCATTTTATTGTATAGATGCCTTTAAACTTAGGTTTAAAAGTTTTGTTTTTACTTACTCTAGAAATGTTCGGTAGTTTATATTAATTTAAATCACTTCTTATTCTAATATGTTGCCTGTTGTATTACCCTTAAAAGTTGAATTGTGCACATCATGGCGCATGAATAAATCTCAGCAGGCAGTTGAGCCAAAATAGGACAGGGTTTCTAAACTGTCACTTGTGGTAATTTAGATTTATTGTTTTTTCTGTCTTTAGGTATTTTATTGTGTATTAAAGCAAGTATTGATGGTTAAATTAATTTACATTGTTATTTGCTGAGTGCATTTGTTAGCATTTTCATGGCTAGTGTTCTTATTTAAAATTTTCAGACATTTGGTTGGTTGTGAAGATGTGAGAGGAATAGGAACAGGCCTTAAAAAGCATGGAATTGGGTTCCGATGATGTTTGAGCCTACTTACTGTACACTACTTTGTTTATTATATATAATAATTGTTGGAAAGTTAACTTGTTTTTTAAACACCTAACTATGTTTTGTTTGTTTGTATAGGAAATGTTTTTCTAAAGCATGGTTCAGAACTGCGAATTATTCCAAGAGATCGTGTTGGAAGTTGTTAATATCCACTACTTGGAGCATAGGATTACCTTTCAAAATAAATATTGGTATTGTTGTTATAAAACTGAAATCAGGCGTTTAAAATACTATGAAAACAGCAATTGTTGATGAAATAATGAAAGGAGACTCTCCATCCCTTCTTGTTATTCACATTCTTCATGTGAAGAGGGAAGGCTTAAGCATTGAGGGTATCATCACCACAGAAGATCATAGTCTTTCATTGCTACCTCACAACACACACAGGTAGTTCATTTGGGGTAAATGGATTATCCAACTGTGTTTTATAACTGGAGGATGCTTCTGATAATTCTTTCTGAGAACATGTGAAAAATTGAAATTTACTGAATCTTCCTATTTGTCTTTGAGTTTAAAAGGATTATGGATCGTACGTGGTGGTTTGCTTGATAGCATCTGACTTGCAGACTCAAAAATAGTTGAATTCTTAATTATATATTGTTTATTATAAAAGATATAGAAATATCAATAAATACTTAACTATCTTAACTTTCTATCATTTAGGTTTTTTTAAGTTTAAACTTTATGTGTTCATACAAATTTTAGTTTAATATCAAAGAGCCAGAAATTGAATTTTTTGATCTAGCCCCTATGTATAAAATTGATATCCCACACTAAAGAGTTTTATCTATGATCTTGCAAAATCCATTACTTGTAATGGTGAGAGTTGACAATAAAATAGGAGCATCCTTTGCTGAGTTATGCATTCCTTTCTCAATCTCTTTTAATACATCCTTTAAAACAAGATTCCTCAAGAAACCATTGTCTTTTTGAGTATAGTATTTCTAAAGAGCATTCAGGAAGAGAGTATTGTAAAGAAGATCTGAAGTTCACAACAAAGCTCAAGGAAATGCTAATTGGAAATGCTGGTTAATTATACTTACTGAAGACCCAACATTTAAGGAAGTGTTAAGATTAGTGAATCAAGTGAATATGAAGCCAGGAAAGGGAAGATGGGGAAGGCCACATGACCAGGCCTCTAGTAAGGAGGCAAGAAACAAAAGCCAACAGTGGAAGGGAACAGAAAGCTTGAGCAAAATGTCACAGAAATGCTAACTGGGTGGGCAAAACTGCAGAAGCTATGTTGGAGAGAACTGAAGGGGAAAACAAAATACTTGACATCGTCATAAGGAGCAGAAGGCAATTAGAGAAAGCAACGTATAGGCTTTGTCAACATACAGATTTCAAAGTTCCCCTTATGAGAATCTGAAGAATGATATGCATAAAGGAAGATTTTATTTGCCCTTACAGAGGAAATCAATATCTATGCAAATCTTTAAAGATGAAATGAAGGCTCGTAGTGATTCAGGACTAGTGCTCAACCTGCTGTATTCTAGATGATGAGCTCTCTGGAGGCAGGCATTGTGTCTGTCTTGCTCTTTGTGGACTTGGAAATCTAGTAGGCTTTCAGTAAATACATGCTGAATTATTCATAAATAAAGTATCTCTAAGACCAATTTTTATGTAAGTGTGTTTGAGTATCTTCCCTACCACAGGCCCGGGGCTCAATGGAAAAAAAATTACAGGGAAATGCAACAGAATCAGCATCTGAAGGGTGACATTGGTGGTTAAGTGTAAGAATTTACCCACATATTGTTCATATATTTGACAGATGAACAGCAAGATTCTGAATTGTAAAGGAAAAGAATCTTTGCTAAGGTGTAGCAGAAGAGTATACTTCTGATGTTTGGGAAATTTTTTATTTTTATAAGCAAAATTTGATGCTCGAAGACCCCCTGGTCCTTAACAATATTAAGCCTTAGTTAACCAGAAATTTATGAATACCCATTCCCTGAAATTTTTGTTTAATTTAGATTTTGCCCTATTCTGTTTCTAGCACAAAAGCTTCTTGCTGTGTTACGTAAATAAGTTTATGATGTCCTGTGACATAAAGTAATTTGTTTAATGTTTTTGTTCTTTGGTTTTGAAAATTTTGTTGTAGTAAGTTCTTTAAATTAAAAACATTTTAAAGAACTAGACATTTTGTTATTAAATAAATGTGATCTGTAAGTTCTTTGTGCAGAATGTTTTGAAGTGTTGAAGTTTAAGTGCGTTATTGATACATAATTAATACCTTATGAAAATACATTTTGTTATACCATAAACTGTATTGTCTACTCTTATTTTATTATTAAAGCTCTTAATCAACACACCTATTGAGCCAGTGTATAACAATTGTAGCAAAAAAATGAGTAAAGATGATTAATAGTCATAGAAATGAATATACACCTCCAAATACCAATCTATTTTCAGAAAAAAAAAAAAAAGTTAAGGTAATTGTCTAGGCTATTCAGACCCAAACCTGGGTATCAGAGTCACCTAGGGAATTAAAAATTCAGATTTCTGGAAACCACTCCTAAAGTTCTGACTCATTAAATCTGGAATGGTGCATAGTAATCTCTGTTTACAAAAAGTAGTCCTGCTAGTTTCAGCTGTTCAGCTGGGTTTTAGAATGATAAGGCCAACTTTTTCACTTTGTAGATGAACAAAAGGAAGCCTAAGGAGTCAAAGTAACTAGAATATGTTCTAGAATCTTGGAAAGTTTACATTCCACTGCTTGATTCTCTGGTAGCTGACTAAGTGCAAAGATGCTAGCTAATAGTCTCCCTCACTCACTAGTACTACCTTTCATAAAGTGTTTCAAGTCCAATTGTTTTGTGGATGTTTTATTTCTTAAAATTTGTTATTTGAAAGAAAAGTCAATGGGAAAAAAATTCAGTTCTAAGTCCCCTCTACCCAAATTAAGATACTAAAATTGTCTACCATGTCTTTTACCTAAGGAGTTTGAAATATTTGTGACTTAGAGGCATTAACATACTTTGTTGGCGAAATTCTAAGTTAACTGACTGTATATTAGTGTTCCCAAGGCTATTTATAAAACCAAATTACATACATAAATCATATATATATACACATGTTTATATACATATATATATACGTATGTAATTTGCGGTTACACGTGTATATGATTTACATATGTAGTTCATCCAAAAGAAACGTATTGAACATCTGCTGTGTGTCAAGTATTTTGATAGATACTTTCACTTACTCTTCACAACAATGCCAAATTATTATCCCCAGTTTACAGAAGAAGAGGCTTAAAGAGGTTGAGATTTGAAATTTGACCCCTTGTTTGACTTTGGAACTCTCCACATCATACTGGGAGAATTTTTTAGTGGTCTTTTTTGACAATATATGAGATCTGTGTTGAATTATCGATTTAAAAGTATAAAGGAAATGTGTGAGGCTTCAATTCTCATTTCAGAGTACTGAATATGCATGTAATGATCATGAATGGTATTCCTTTTTAATACGTAGTGTAAATGTGATGGTGTAAATGTGGTAAAATGAGAGGACATTAAGTAAAAAGCAATCAAAGGTAATTATGATTCTGGTGCTACTCCATAGGGTGGCACAGTGGGAGTAGGACTATGGCCCCATATTCCTCAGCCCCATTAGACAGCTTACATTTTTTAATCTTATGTATCTTCCAGATGCAGCTACAAGATTAGTCCCCTAGTAACCTGCTCTTCAGCCAGATGTTGCCCATAAGCCCCTCCAACACAGAAATTCTGGAATTACCCTCTGATATTTAGTGCTGGAGATAGCTAAATCATTATTTAAACCAGGCTATCTAAACCATTAATTGAAATAAACATTCTCAAAAGGCCCAATCTATCCAACCTATTACCCACATCCTCTAAATTGTCTAAGCCAGATATTTGGAATTCATTAGATTTCTTTCCTTTCTCTTGCCATAGCAAATCAGTCACAAAATTCTATTTAATCTGTTCACAAAATATATATCAGTCACCTCCACTGTCTAATTAAAAACCTCATCTTCTTGTATATGCTACTATAAAAGCCTCTAGTCTCTCCATTTCCTCTTTCACACTCTTGTTGTAATGAGCTTTTTGACATGGAAATAATCACGTAGTTCCAGTAGTCAAAATCCAGAATAAAAAGGAATAAAAATCGGTACTTTTCATGACATATGAAGTCCTTCATGAATAGGTCTTTGTTCAGAGTCATCTGTTATCACGTCTCTCTTTTCTACAGTTTCCTTCTCCAGTTCACACTGCAGAACTACAAATATTTAGTATTTCTGATGTGACATCTTCTTATGCCGGCATGCCTTTACTTTCTCCATTTGTCTGCCTGGAAAACCTAGCACTCATTCTAGTTTAAAAGCCATCGAGCACTTCGTCACTCCTCCCAAGCAGAGTTAGGTGCTAGCTGTCTAAACAACCATTGCATTTGTACATTCCTCCATTATAGCAATTATTAAACATAGAATTCTAATATTTATCTCTGATTTTTTTTGTTAATCTTTTATTTTTATTGCAGTAACATTGGTATATAACATTGTATAAATTTCAGGTGTACATCATTGTACTTCTATTTCTGCATAGATTACATCATGTTTACCACCCAAATACTAATTACAACCCATCACCACACACATG